GCCAGGGGATGAGAAGACACACGCTTTGACAACTCGACCGGGGTCATCTGCAAGATCGTGCTCAGGATTGGGCAAGCGGACCGGCACTAACGCGGATATCTTTAGAGCGGATATGCGCGCGGAATCCCCGCGTCGAGTAGATAATTATTCGATCACCCTTGACGGAGGACGAAGAGGAGGAGGAGGAGGAGGAGGAGGAGGAGGAGGAGGAGGGGGAGGAGGGGGAGGAGGGGGAGGAGGAGGAGGAGGAGGGAGGAGGAGGAGAGGAGGAGGAGGAGCAGGAGGGGAGGAGGAGGAGGAGGAGTAGGAGGGGGAGGAGGAGAGGAGGGGCTTCAGAGGACTCTCGACGTCGGCGACGTCGCCACGAGGGAAAGGCGGGGGACCAAGGATTCGGGCCCCTCCTTGGCGCAGGACCCTGGCCGAGACCAGGGCGTTCCCCCGACGCGCGGACTCCGTCGCACCAAGACGATGGGCACTCGGCCAAAGCTTTCGGTGCGACGATCGATCTGCGACCCCCCCCTCCCCCCCCCCCACACACACACACACACGCACGCACGCACGCACGCACGCACGCACGCACGCACGCACGCACGGCACGCACGCACGCACGCACGCACGCACGCCACGCACGCACGCACGGCACACACACACCCACACACACCCACACACACCACACACACCCACCACACCACACACACCACACACACACACCACACACACACACACACACACACACACACACACACACACACACACACACCCCACACACACACACACACACACACACACACACACACCACACACACACACACACACCCACACCCACACACACACGCACACACGCACGCACGCACGCACGCACGCACGCACGCACGCACGCACGCACGCACGCACGCACGCACGCACGCACGCACGCACGCACGCACGCACGCACGCACGCACGCACGCACGCACGCACGCACGCACGCACGCACGCACACGCACACGCACACGCACACCTCGGCTACACGCGAGAGCGGCCCCTTACGAGAGCAACCTTCGGTGCGCGGCTCCTGGGGGCTGCATGGGGGCCCAAATCCAGGCGCGCAGGCCGCTGCTGTCGCCCCGCGCTCGGCAAGCTTCGGCCACTGGGGGGCCCCATCGGGCCCGCGCGAGAAGTCACTCCGGCGAAGGGTCGCTCCTACGCACAGCCAAACAATCGGGTCGGGCGAAAGGGGGGGATAGCAAAGGGGGGGGTTGAGAATCAGCTCACGTAGCTGATTTTCCCGGCGCCGGAGGCGGCTATGTATCGAGGAATGGGCCCCTCGGCGGGGCCGAAACCAGCTGCATGCAGCAGATTCCGTAACCCCTCCTTTCCCAATCCCCCCCTTTCGTTCGGCCCGAAACAGACACGTCGGATTGCAACGAACTGGACGTAACTCTTCGAACGGCAAGACCTGAGCTACGCGTGGGCCGAGCGGGCAGTGCCCGGCGCGGGGGCGAGGTCGAGGCCTCGGGCCGCGCCTGGCCGCGGTCCTTCCACGCTGCCACGGCGCGACCAGGGCATCCGCCCCCCCCCTGCCAGCCCTTTCCACAGGAATTGGGGCGGCCACCACGCCTCACTTTTGGTATGCGGCGTCTCGGATGCGAGTCAGGCTGCGCTGGGGTACAGGCCAAGCTGATTGTGGCACACGAGGAGAAGGGGAGGCAGGAGCAACGGAGGAGACGACCGCGCGTGTCTGGGGGTCCCTCCGAGCATGAAGCTCTTCAGGAGGAGCCAGAGCGGGCTCGTCGTGGAGCTGGAGGTGCAGAAGGGGCCCCAGAAGCCGATCGGTGGCATACCGTCCGACGAGCTCGACACCCCGAAGACGAGCTTGGCACCTCGACGACGTCTCTGGACGTGCACGCCCCCCAAGACGGCCCAAGCACCCCCAAGACGGCCCGAGAGAGCCCCGAAACGCTCCAAAAGGGCCCCAAGACTGCCCTCGAGGGCCCCCCAGCGGACCCCCGAGAAAGGGCTGCAGATGCTGACCCCCGGAGAGACCTGCAACTGTCTCCACGACGCGCGTCTTACAGCGGCTCGCGCGGCAGCGTGCTGACCTCGGGGCATCGTCGCAGAATGGCCCGAGCCTCGAAGAGGCCCGCCCACTCCGAATGCAGGCGAGAGCTTTTGCTTACCGTGTTGCGGCGGCGGCCCCGGCGACGCGCTATGCCTTGCAAGCGGATGGCGTGTCGCTCCGCTCCGCGGGCTGTGAGGCTGCGAAAGGTCGAGACGTTGACGCTTGGGGACTGGGACATGGATAGCGTGTCGCCCCCAAGCGTGGTGGACCAGAATCGGTGGAACGACACGCTGAGCCCGAATTCCAGACCGTAACCCCTTGTCCCTGTGGACTGTGCGGTCGCCGCACCGTTTGGGTGCCACGGGTCCACCCTCCGAACAGAAGCAAGCAGTGGTTGTGCCAAGCTCGCCCCCGCGCGTAGTCTGCTTCTACTCTCTCTCTCTCTCTCTGTCTGTCTCTCTGGGGGCACCCAGAGGCCCCAGGGTATGTCTGGGGAGCTCTTCGGACCTCCAGGGAAGTCCAGGAGACCAGGGTCTAAGGCGGCACTGCACCGTGCCCCCCGTTCGCTCCTCCCGCTGCTGCTCATCTTGCGTTATCCTTCCTCCTTTTCCGCCTTATCCTTCTCGTCCTCCTCCTCCTCTTCCACCTCCTCCTCCTCCTATTCCTCCTCCTCGTATCCTCCCCAACTACTACGACAAATAATGGTACTGCTGCTAGCCCGGCTGCTCACGATACGACTACGACTGCCATGGCGCTATTTCTAAAACTTATGTTACACATGCGAAGGTCACCACCACCACAGCAACAACTACGACTACGATTACCACTACGACTACGACTACGACAACAACAACAACAACTACTACTACTACTACTACCACTACTACGACCAGTCCTACTAGCACTGCTCCTCCTCCTACTACTAATACGACTACTCCTACTACTACGACTACTACTGCTACTACTACTACGACTACGACTACTAGTACTACTATTACTACTACTACTACTACTACTACTACTCCTACTACTACTACTACTACTACTACTACTACTACTACTACTACTACTACTACTACTACTTACTACTACTACTACACTACTACTACTACTACTACTACTACTACTACTACTACTACTACTACTACTACTACGACTACGACTACTACTACTACTACTACTACTACTACTACTACTACTACCACTACGACTACTACTACTACTACTACCAAGGTGACTACGGGTACGAATACGACTTCGACTTCGACAGCGACGACGACTACTACTGCTACTATGACTACTGCTTCTCATACCACGGCTGTTCAAAACCTGCAACTAAAACTACTTCTGCGACTACCGCTACCACTACCACCACCACGACTACAACCATTGCGGCGACGACAACAACGAAAACGCCTGCTATTACTATTCGTGCTACGACTACTACTACTACTACTACTACTACTAGTACTACGACTACTACTACCACTACTACTACTACTACTACTACTACTACTACTACTACTACTACTACTACTACTACTACTACTACTACGACGACTACTACTACTACTACTACTACTACTACGAATACGATTAATACAACTACGACTGCTACGACTACGACTACTACTACTACTACTACTACCACTACTACTACGACTACTACTACTACTACTACTACCACTACCACTACTACTACTACTACTACTACTACTACTACTACTACTACTACTACTACTACTACGGCTACGACTATTACAACTGCTACTAATATCTCCTACGACTACGGCTACAACTCTACGGCAACAACTACCACTACTACTACTACGACCACTACAATTATTATTACTACTATTGCCACTACTACAACTAATACTCTTAGTGCTGATCGCCCCCCTCCTCGTACTACTACTACCTAACTACTACAAATGCTACGACTACTGCGACTACTACTCCTCCTCCTCCTCCTCCTCCTACTACTACTACTACTAGAACTGCTACTGCGACTGCTACGACTACCGATACTACCACGGGTACGACTACTACTACTACTACCACTACCACTACTACTACCACTACTACTACTACTACTACTACTACTACTACAACTACTACTACTACTACTACTACTACTGCTACTACTACTACTACTACTACTAGAAGTACTACCACTGCTGCTGCTGCTGCTGCTGCTACTACTACTACTACTACTTCAACTACTACTGCTACTTCTACTACTATGACTACTACGACCACGACAACGACTACTACGACTACTAGTGCTACTACGACCACTACTACTACTACTACCATTGCGTCTACTTCGACTACTACTACGAATGGTCGTAGTAGTAGTAGTAGTAGTGGTGGTAGTAGTAGTAGTAGTAGTAGTAGTAGTAGAAGCAGTGGTAGTAGTAGTACTAGTAGAAAATGTAGTAGTAGCAGTAGTAGTAGCAGCCGTAGTAGTAGTAGTAGTAGTAGTAGTAATATTAGGAATTGTCGTCGCCGTCGAACTACGAGTACACCGCGACTACGACTACGACTACTACAACTACTACTGCTACGATTACTGTTTCTACGACAACACACACTACTACAACTACTCGGGGTAAGCGTTACAGTCGCGAAAGTAGTAGTAGTAGCAGTAGTAGTAGTAGTAGTAGTAGTGGTAGTAGTAGTAGTAGTAGTAGTAGTAGCAGTCGTAGTAGTAGTAGTAGTAGTAGTAGTAGTAGTAGTAGTAGTAGTAGTAGTAGTAGTAATGGTAGACGTAGTAGTCGTAGTAGAAATATATGTAGTATTAGTAGTAGTAGTAGTAGTAGTAGTAGTAGTAGTAGTAGCAGTAGTAGTAGTAGTAGTCGCCGTTCCAGTAGCAGGAGCGAGCGCAATCGTAGTAGTTGTAGTAGTGGTGGTAGTAATCATACGAGTGGTACGATTCGCACACGTAGTAATAGAACTGCC